AAAAAAAAAAAGTTGATTAACAAATTCATTAAGTTGAGGATCTACTTTGCTTCACCTGTGAAAGATACTTTTCCTATATGTAGAATTTTTAGTTCACAGTTTTTTCTTTGAACTATTTTTTTTTTCTTTGACTATTTCATGGCCTTTGACCGTTAATGCTTCCTATTACTCACCTTACTGTTACTCCCCTGTTGAAAGAAAAGTCATTTCTGGGCTCTCTCTGGTGTCACAATAGGTTAAAGCACAGCATGATGCAGCTCTCCGCAGCCACTGCAGCACAAGTTCATTCCCTGACCAGGGAGCTGACCCACATGGCATGGCAGACCTCTCCTGACCAGCCCGCTGCTCCCCTCAGCAGTGTATTTCAGTAGATCTACCTTTTCTTCTCCCCACTCTGTCTCTGGTGAATCCTCTCACCGCCCCTGCACCTCTGGCCTATATCCCATTTCTGTAAGTATAAATAAATAAATCTTAAAAAGTCATTTCCTTGTTACTCTTTCAAGATTTCCTCACAGTCTTTCAATAGTTTGACCAGTGCAACAAGGTGGGGACCTCTGAGACTTCCCTACATGAAACACATTTAGCTTGTGGATCAACAAAGTATTATTTTTCTTCAAGTTTGGGATGTTTTCCTCCACCACTGTTTTAAAACTGAGGTGAATTATTGTTTGTATTTTTTCTGTCTCCTCTCCTTCTAGGACTCCCATGATAAACACGGTGGATTGCGTGGATTGCGAGATGTTGTCTGAAAAGATGTTGAGGCTCTTGTTTTCTTCTGTTGCTTGGGTTGGGTGCCTTCTGGCATATATTCAAATTTACTAACTTTTTTTCTGCTATCACAAGTCTGCAACTGAAGTCTTCCAATGAATACTTTATATCAACTACTGAATATTTAACTGTAGCTTTCTTGTTGTTTTTTTTTTAATGTTTTTGTGATTCTATATATAAACCCCTTTCCCAAATAATTTTTAACATGGTTCTGTTACTACATGAAAGTATTATTCTGCTAAATCCAACAGTTCTGGTCACACAGAGAAAATATGTACTGACACTTTTTGTTTCTTAAATATATTTACACTTTGTTTCATTTATCACACTTTTTTTTAATACTAGATTATTAGGTAATATATTGTAGCAACCCTCAGTTGAGATTTTTAACCCAAAAGTTGATTTGTTTTGTGATTTTCCTACTGGAGCCTCCATGTACATTCTTTTTGATGCACATCTTAATAGATTCAGTGTAAATGTATTAAAGCCTCTCTCCATAAAGAAAGATCACTGACGCACTCCCTTCTTTCAGTATTTTCCCCCAATAACGACTTCCCAGGGGTCATCTCTGTAGCTACATAGCTGTATGTTTAGTCAAAGACTGGTCACACACTTCTTTGCCCAAACACCTTGAGCCATTGAGATTCCTCCTAGTAGCTCATCTATGTATTAGCCCATGAGAGCATTTAAAGTTAACATGATTTTTTAGTTCCTCCACTGTAATTTCTGCTTTTCTAGATCTTCCCCTGTCTCCTTTAGATGTGCACACAGGACCCAGAAGACAGATAAGCATGGGTGATGGGGGTCAACTCCAACCCCTGCTGCACTTGAGTGCAAACTTCTGTCAACTTCGTCTGAGAAGACTTATCAGGCCACCTAGCATTTCCCAGATGTTCCTGATATATCTGTGACTATGCCTCACTGCTTTCAGCAACATCACGGTCTCTACCAAGCCATTTGCCAAAAAAATCTCCACTTTAACTCAGCAAACTCCACAGCAACTGAACCATCCTAGAGTAGCAGTGAAGCGACAAGTCCTCACAGCCTGCTCCACTTTGCTTGAAAAACCTTGCCGCAGAACTGGAGAAGGGAAATGGCAGCTCAAACACCACAGGCCCATACTG